AAGGGAAATGGAAGTTGTCCCAGTGGGAAAAGACTTGCAACAACCACTCTTCATAGATGACATGACATTAGATAGTAACAACTCTAACAGCTTCGTTAAAATTATTTAGACTTGCAAAGTTGCAAGATATAAGATCAGTATGTAAAAAACAAATTGTTCTCTCAGGGAACAAACCCAAAATGAAATTAAGAAAACAATCCCATTTGCAAGAGCATCAAGAAGAATAAAATACTTAGAAATAAAATTAACAAAGTAGTACAAAATTTATGTCCTGAAAATTAAAAACATTGTTCAAAGAAATTAAAGAATTTCTGCATAAATAAATTTTAAAAGTCCCACATTTGTGGATTGGAAGGCAATATTAAGACTTATTAAGATCCCAAGCTGATCTCTATCTTTAACACAATCTTTATTGGATTCTCAGACAAACTCTTTAGAAATGAGAAATAGGATTCATATGAAATTGCTCAGGACTCTAGAGAGACAAAATGATCTTGAAAAACTAGAACAGAGCAGATTGCAAACTTATCAAGAAACAACGATAAGGGAAACATGTACATAACAGGGTACAATTAGAATCCAGAATAAATCCATTCGCCTATGGTCAATGGAGTTTAGACACATTTGACACTAAGAACTGTCTTAGTTTCTTTACTATTGCTGAAAACAACAACAACAACAAACCCTGAAGAAAAAACAAACAAACAAAAAAACTTACAGGGTAAAGGGTTTATTCTGGCTCACAGTTCAAGAGAGTCCATCATGGCAGGCCATCAAAGAAGCAGGAGCTTGGAAGCCCTAGTTGAATTGCATCCACAGTCAATGAGCAGACAGCAGTGAGTTCAGATACTACTCAGTTCCTTTTCCGTTCATACAGTCCAGGATCCCAGCCAGGGAATGGTGACACCCAGAGTGGGCAGGTCTTCCCACCTCAGTTAACCTACTCAAGATAATCCCCACAGGCATGCCCAGAGACCACCTCTCACTTGATTCTAGATCTCATCAAACTGGCAACTTAGATTAACCATCACTGGCACTGATACCACTGAATGGAAAATGATTAATGACATTAAATCAACATGGATTCAACGTCAACAGCAACAGAAAAGCCAGAGTAGCTGAATAACCAAATCAAAGGAATGAATTCAGACCCTTGCCTCTACCCACAGGCACATCCACAAAGGCAAATGAACCCAAATGGACCATAGACGTAAAGGTGAGAACAGAAACTCTCTTTTTTTGGCGGGAGTATAATTCTGGGGAATGTGTGGTGGTTTGAAAGATAATGACCCCCAAAGGGAATGGCACTATCAGGAGGTGTGGCTTTGTTGGAATAGGTGGGGTCTTGTTGGATGAAGTGTTCTACTGTGGGGGTGGGCTTTGAGGTCTCTTTTGCTCGACCTTTACTCGGTGTGACAGTCAGTCAACTTCCTGCTGCCTTCTGGTCAAGATGCAGCCAGCACCATATCTGCCTGCATGCTCCCCCATAAAGATGATAATGGACTGAAGCTCTGAAACTGTAAGCCAGAATCTCAAGTAAATATTTTCATTTATAAGAGTTGCCAAGGTCATGGTGTCTCTTCATAGCAATATAAACCTAACTAAGATAGAATGTTTATTATTTTAGGTGCTGAAAATGTTAAACCAATTATAATGATGGCTATCCGTATCTGTATATAGCACAAAAATCATTGAATTGTATACCTGAAATGTGTAAGTTAGGTCCCATGTAAGTTATAACTCGTATGTCAATAAATGCATTTAAAAATTTTTAAGATTCACTAGAGGAAAGACTGCATGTCCTCTAGAATATTAATAGTTTGGGACCTTAGAAGAGACAGCCCACATTTTAACTGTCATTTTGCAAATATAGAAACTCTGGCCAGAGAGGGGTATTAAGCAAGTCCAAGTCACATAGCACATAAAGACTCTGGTTTAGAAGTGGTCTCTGAGTACCACAGAAATGGGGTTTCAAAGTCTTTAACTCAATTTACCCACCTGTAACATGAAGACTCCCACTCAGTCCTTGTCCTTCAAACTCCAAATCTGTTACAAAGGTGTGGAAACCACAGAGACGGAGGATTGTTGTGCCCACAGCAGAGTTTGGGGCATTCTCTAATCCCTGATGTGTCTGAGAGTCCTACCAGTGCAGGGCTTCTACCTAGGGTTCCTGCAAGCCCAGCCCAGGACACCTTAGTAAGAGAACCTGCTGTCTCCGGGGACATCTCAGAGTCTCAAGTTCTTCCTTCCACAATGACTGTGATGGATTGGTGAAGCCTGGAAGCGCTTTACAACAGGTGACCAACCATCTTCAATTCTTCCTGCATTCATTAGTGGGTCATTAATCCTGATGGGCTCATCTGGGGTGGAAGAAGGCACACACTCTTATCTCCCAAATATACTACTTGACTGCTTGCTCTCATCCAGGGTAACTGACTAGTCCTTTTGGAGGAGCCCCAGGAACTCTGTAGATAATGGTCTTTGCAATAGCTGGAAGTATGAGAAGGGAGCATGTCAGTATCTGTGTCCCAGGGACAGGCATAGCTTCCCTCCTCCCACAGTATGACTTCATGGAAGCCATGGGATAATGGGAACAGTCAGTGTCTGCCCTAGATACACTCTCAGCCACAGTGCCCTGGCTTATTCTCATACGATGCTCAAGATCCCCAGATTTCCCTGTCCTGCTCTGTAGTCCACAGTTTTTTTTTCCAGCCATCCCCAAAGTCTGAACCTAGGCTCTCCGAAGACCTCGCGCCAAGTGATGGCTGCCTGGAATGGAAGTCACTGGGTGCCTGCATGCAGCCAAAGCCCAAAATCTCCCTCTTTCTAGGGCTTTGTTGGGAGTAGGACCAGATGGGAGATAAAAATGAACGGAGTAGAAAAAAACTGAGTAACCCAAAAATCACAGACTGGACCTAAACGATCTTTAAAGTTAGCAGAAGTGACAATAATATTTGATGCCATTATAAGCCAGACAAGGTGTCCGCCTTGTGGACTACCAGGCTAGAGACTCCAGCAGATAACACCCTTCTCCATTGGTTCCCCAAGGCCCCTTCTAGCTACAATACTCTTGAAAAAAACGTGTACAGAGAAGCCCCACCCATCTCCACAGCCCTCTTATCTGTGCCACTCAATGTCATCCTCTGCTTCAAGCTTGTCATACCACACATAGCCCTCCTCAGTTCCTTATTCCATTCCTCCTGTAGTCTCAGCAACATGATGCTAGGTACAGCTGAACTCTGGGTACAGACCAAGGGTAGCATGGAGGTCCAAGGTTCCACTCCTCACAGTATGGAGGAGGAGGGGTGTCGCCCCAACCCGGCAGCTGCTCGGTGTCAGATGTGGACCCGTGTGTTCACACACAAAAAAATCCCTGTTGTCCTTACAAGAGTCCCACTACCACCCTACCGACAAGAAGCCTGGAGTCCTAAGAGAAACTAAGAAAGGCGGAAGAAATGACAGGGGATGCAATTTATTTGATAACGCGCTTGCCCAGCATACACAAAGCCATGGGGTCAGTCTCCAGCACTACATAAACAGGGTGTGGTGGGGGTACATCTGTAATCTCAGCACTCAGAAGGTGGCAGTGGCAGAACTGGAAGTTTAAACGTCATGCTCAGCTACGTGGAGAGCTTAAGACCTACACAAGAGAGACCCTGTATCAAGAAAAGGAAAAGAGAAATGCACGGGGTAGGGGGAGCCCCAAATATAGAATCGCTGTCTTTCCTTTTAGATGAAAATGGCCATGCTGTCCTCTTTCCTACCAAGAAGAGAAAGAGACAGCGGTGATGGGAGAATGGTGTTCTCTCCAGGTCAAAGCCCTGCTGTCCACTGTCATAGGGTATGTGTGGTTAAACAACACAATTCATGGAAACAGGAGTGAAGACCACAGCCTCACTCTCCTTGGCTCCTTCCTCCAAGCTGCGTCACGCTGTCATGGCCTCTTCAAGGCTGAGGCAGGAGACAGCCACTGGCCTCTAATTGCTCTCAGTCAAAGACTGTAGCTAACATGTTATTAAATATGTAAATAATATGAAAGCCAGAGGAGAATTAATATTTCATATATAATGAAGTTAAGATGAATTCTCCTGTGCCTAATTTTCTGTTTCTAAACACATAACGCACTGTGGAGTCCAAAGTGATTCATGGTATTTTATATTGGTTAAAGACATTCAGGGGTTTCTCCGGGGCGGTTTCCAAAATGATTAACTCGAATGTTATTATTACAAATAGGATTTGTTTTTTAAAAAATTAATTCTGTAGTTAATCAGAATGAAAGGCATGGGGTTTCTTTGCTGGTGGGCCAGTCTCAAATGGAGAAAAGGAATGGAGAGGTACAGGTTAGCGAGTCTAAGACATGTCAGGGATAAATGATCGCAGCAAGGCTGGGTGACAGCAGGGCCAGGCAGTGACTGTGGCTAACTAAAAAACTCATGCCTGGTGAGAGGGAGTCTGAACACCACCACCCTCCTTCGCATGCAGCGACCAGAAGCTCAGCTTCATGTGTTTAAATGAATCCACGTATAAAATTGGTTCCTGATTCAAATAATTTTGAACACTTATGGATCAAAAAGAAAGTATGGTGGCTCACCAGTTTGTTACCTCTGAATTGAGGTGCAGGGCTAAGGGAAAGCTTCTGGCCAGGGGCAGGTCCTTTCGCTTGGCTAACTGGAAAGAGCCTGACCTTGCATTCTCAGATGATAGAAGGAAGAACATAAAATCTGCTTTGTCAGCATTTTGGGGTTGTAGCTTAGCAAGATGAGAAAAAGCATGAATCCTTCAACCCAGCATTTCTAAGAGTTCCTCAGAAAGAAATAATTAAGGATTGGAAAAATAAATTGCTATAATGATACTCTCCACAGCACTGTTTATAACGTGGAAAAAAATAGAAGTGAACTGAATGTCCACCAAGAGTGAGTAATCACCCATTCCACGGTGGAGGTCCAAAGAATATGTCAATCAGTCGTCTTTGACAACTACAACTAGGTTTATGCACACACCTTTTAGTTCTGCTTCTGGAATTCTTCAGATTTTTATTAATGAGGCGTGGGACGCATGCCAGTGACAACGTTGTGGGGTCACTTCTTCCCTTCCACCTTTTTGTGGGTTCTGGGAATCAAAGTCGGGTTGTCAGTCTTGAGCAGCAAGCACCTTTCCCCTCTTGCCAACATAGGTTTTACTTGTTTATTTATTCATTTAATACTTAGCTAAGAATTTCAGTTAGCATTACAAGAATAAATCCACTAAGTAGTAACATAAATCACATGTTTATATAGAAAACTAACTATATTTCCCCAAGATCAGTGAGGAGAGTATCATTGTTACAAATGTATTTTTTACAAGTGTGAGAGCATCATATATGCTATAACTGTGGTATTGCTATAAGAGAGAGGCATGCATTTACCTGTCAGGGGAGGAGAGGAGTCAACATGTCAACCTGTAAGTGATGGTTGTTTCTAGGCCAGATGATTGGTTCAACAGCCAGAGATGAGCCCCATCCTTTCCTTTTCTCTATATTTTATGAACTGTAGAGAAACTTTTAATTTTCCTGACACAGGGTCTCATGTAGCTCAGAGTAAATTCAAACTCACTAAGTAGCTGAGGATGATTCTGAACTTTGGATCTTTCTGCCTCCACCTCCAGAATGCTCTAGATACAGGCGTGTTTCATCATGCCTGGCTTCATAGGTACAAGGGTTCAAACATGAAGCCTCGTGCATGCTAAGCAAGTTCCATCCACAGCCCTAGATTGCAAATGAACTTTCAGCGCTTCCACACAAAGTCCACGGCCTGTAGAGGACCCATCTAAATCTAATCTTCACTTCCCCACTTAACCTTTCCACCTCCTCACAGGGCCTTTTGGTGTACACTGTGGGATACAATCACTCCCAGGGTCTCCTACAATTTGAAACCTTGGCCAAGATACTCAGATTCAATTTGAAGTTCAAGCCAGACATAAACCCCAGAGAGATCCCCCCAAGGGGCTCTCTCCCCTCCTTCCTGGTGACCAAGGATGCCTTGTAGAGTGGTTGCCCTGACAGCCAGAATCTTAAGAGCGAGGAGAAAGAGAATCGGGGTGCGACCAACCTCCAGCACACACACAGCATGATCGGGAGCTAAGCCTTCCTTGAGCTGACCCACTGCACTGGAGGGTTGTTCCAGCGGCAAACCCCACCCTGATGAACTGGACATGATGGGCCTGGGGCAGCTGTGGGTAGAAGCCTCATGCTCCGAGGCCAGCACCTTGCCACAAATCTGGGATGTAACTGCCACTGTGATAAAAGCTTAGCAAGGAGGAGAGGGACAGTGTATAAACACAGGTGGGACCTCCCACGCAGGAATGCATGGCACAACAGAGCTCAGGACCCAGGCACAGGATATACTGCCTCCAGATCATGCCTGCCCCAGTGGCTGTCACATCATGACAACTGTGCATTATGACAGCTAAAACAGAATGTCCGCGGGCACCCTTTTAGGCTTTTCCCATACACTTTCAAACCTTCTTTATGACAGTCATCTAGAAACACAAGGAAATATGGAGTGCATATACATATGAGAGAAAAAAGAAAGGGACTTGAAAGACATTGCCAAGGTCAGCACCCCATGAGGCTGGTGTTGAAACCCCACAAAGACTTATCAATCATCTCTTTGAGCGTGTCTGTCACCGTGATGGGCAGACAGAGGTCTAGCTGCTGTCTGACCTCCCTGGCTGCCCCCTCGCCCCTTGCTCCCTTTTGTCATATCAGCTGCTCAAGGATGGGGGTGTGGGAAGTGGGGTATTTCTTCCCCTTACATTTTTGCTCAGCCACTTCCTAGGTGGTGGCTGAAGATGGTCACCTCTGGTCCTCATGAGGCTCTGCTAGGTCTGTTGTCCTGCCTACAACTTTCCCCCTCAGTTCCCTTCAGCCTTCATGTCAGACAGAGCATCCTATCGCCATTGGTGTAAGGATACCTACCTCTCCTCAGTATCCCCAGGGTTCTGTCCATACAGCAATGCTCTCCCTCCACTGGAACTATCTGGGTAAGCTCCCCTCTGTCAGAGCTCCAGAGTCATTTCCGGCCTCTGATGCTAGGCCCTGCCTTGATCACCCATCTCTGTTTGGGTGGCCTAGAGACCCGCCCATCTCTACTTATGCTCCCTGGAAGGGAAGATTACAGACAGCAGGGCCACCTCTTTGAGCCCCACTATCTGTTCCTTACTCCTTCTTCTCCATTCTTCCCTGGCTCATACTGATGCTGGCTCACACCTTGAGAGTACTTCCTTGATCCTGGCCAACCCCAGAGCTTCAGGGCACCGGGACCTTTGGCCAGGAGTCAGAACCACGGCTTTCTGGGAACCACCCAGGCCAGGCCAGAGCAGCTGGGAGTGGAGGAGGGCAGGCTTCCCACTTGGCCTCCCTTTGTTTTGCTCTGGTTTCTTCCACAGCCTGGTGTGTCAGATCTTTGTGGTCCTTAAACCAACAATGCGTGTGGAGCAACAGCCCCCAGCGACCATCCATCACCTCAGACCTGTCACCTCTGAAAGCCAGTCAGCCGGCACTCAGCGCCAGCTCCTGCCACCTGCACCCTGCAGCTGAGCAAACACAAGTGACCACTGCTGACCAGGGTCAGTCCACAGTGCCTTCATCTCCCCCCCCCCCTTTGCCTCCTATGACAAAGGCCCTAAACACTGCCAGAAGTAGGTCTCTGTTTAGCTTATTGGCTTTGGGATGTTGGACATGTTGAGCCCACTCTGAGCCCCTTCCCAGCCCTGTTTGGCCAGAAACGAAGCAGGTCTTCCCTTGAACTTCCGAAAGGCACCTGCAAAGTGAATGTTTTTTGGTTTGCCTACTATATGCTTACCCCGCCCCTTCTGCTCCCAGTACGCACTAACTCCACCAACCTGTGGGGTTTGATCGAGTGGGCTTACACCGAGTAGAGGAAGCCAAGGCTCAGAGCTGTCAAGTGACTACTCCAAGGTCACACTCACATAAAAATAAAGCAGAGATGTGAAACCCAATCATCTATTCTTCCTATTTTCTTTGTAAATCTAGGATCCCAGTGGCTTTAGTTTGTGTTCACTACAGAAATTTTGAAAACATGTAAACAAGCCCAATCATCCGAATTTGGCAACTTCCAGCACCTGTTGTTTATGCTTTGCCTGCCCCTAGTCTCAATATGTTGTGGTATTTATACATACACTAGCCCGGGATATCAACAGAAAAATGTGACCTCACATTGCACTAGCAGAACACGAGCTCCTTGCAGCAGTTATTGCCTTGATCCTATGCCCTAGAGGTCATGGGCTATCATAGCAGCATTGAAAGGCAGAGGCCAGGGGCTAAGGAAATGTTCGCCCAGTAAAGAGCTTGCTGCAAAAGGATGAGGACCAGGGTTCGGATCCTCTGCAAAAAGCCAGGAGCCCAGTGTGAGTCTGCAGATCCAGCACTGGGTTGGCAGAGACAGGAGAACTCCTGGGGCTTACTGGCCAGCCAATGTGTCTGAATGAGCAAGCTCCTGGTTCAGTGAGAGACCCTGCATGAAAAAGTAATTTAGAGAACAACTGAAGATTCATGGTAGTGACTTCTGGCCTCCCTGTGCATTATATGCATGTGTACCTGCACGCATTTGAACACACCACACACACACACACACATACACACACACACACACACACACACACACACACACACACACACACACCAGTTCTTCCCCAGGGACACTCTGCAATTGTGCTATGTCTGTGTGGGTCTTAAGGAGCATTGGGGCACCTCTTTTACTATCGGCTCTTCTCCTGTCAGATGGAGTCATGGAAATGAGTTAGATACACTGGGTCCTCTTCCTTGGTCAAATGTGTCTGTTTCTGGGGGTTACTGAAACTGCAGACCTAAAGCAAGAGAGATTCTGCCACATTTCTGAGGGCTAGAGGTCTAGCCTGGAGGCTGGTGGGGCTGCTTGCTCCTAGGAGGCTCTAGGAAGACCTTCCCTAGCCTCTCTCCCAGCTGATGGTGGTCAGTCACCATACTTGGCACTGTTTGGATTGTGGCAGCCAAATGTCTTAGCCCACTGTTGCAGGATATTTGCTCACACGGTGAAGCTCCAAGACTGTTAGATGGTGGGGTGTGGGGAGGAGACCCAGAGACTAGTTGACAAAAATTAGCCTAGAGAGTATGGAGGATCTGTGGCTATGGATAGAGAGATGCACAGGAAAGAGTAGGGAGGCTCTTATAGATTCATGGTCTTTTTGGTTTTGGACAGAGGCACACTCACCTGATAGGTCTCTGGCCAAAAAGGAGGGTCAGCTGGTTGCCTCTCGGTTTCTCTGAACTAGCAAGTTTTCACCCCCACATCTGACTCCCGAGTATTTATTGGTAAATAGCACAATAGAGACTTAGCTAAAACCTACGTTTGATGGCCTCAGCCAAATCAGAAATCCCTCCAGGTTAAGGTCTGAGTAACAGAGTGCTGACTGCCTGGTCACAGGGCGCAGATAGTAGTTAAAATATCAATAGATACAGGTGCAGTTGCTAAGCCAACAGAAAAACAACAGCCCACCTTCACATGGCCTTCCCTCTGTGTGTCTGGTACTTCATTGCCTTTTTCCTTCCTTTCTCTTTTGTTAATAATGTATTTGTTATTTTTATTTTATGTGCATTGGTGTTTTACCTGTATCAGAGCATCAGATCCCCTGGAACAAGAGTTACAGACAGCTGTGAGCTGCCATGTGGGTGCTGAGAATTGAGCCTGGGTCCTCTAAAGGACCCGCCAGTGCTCTTAAGCGCTGAGCCATCCCTCCAGCCCCATTGCTCTTTTCTGATGAGATCATCAGTCATTGGATTCCAGTCCACACTGACCCACTGTGATCTCATCTTAAGCTGATGGCCTATGCAAAGCTAGGCCTGGGTGGACATGAACCCAGGGTGCCTGCTGCTTCTATACAGCGTTGCAATGCTGTTACAAAATACCCAGAGGACAAAATCAAACAGTGCTTACAAGGAAGAAAGATACGTCCACTGTTTCAGAGAGCTTGGCCCATGGTCTCTTCATCCCCTTGCTCTGGGCCTGTGATGAGGCAGGATTCCATAGTAGAATAAAGCTGCCCTTACCCACCTACAGCCAACA